GGTGGCCTCTGGGTTTTGAAGCCAGCCAAGCACGTCAAGGCCCTTGGGGTACAGCTTCTCGGCGTCAGGATGGCTGGACAAAGTCTGGAGCAGCTCGGCAGATGTGGTGATCAGCTCGCCGACGAATGCCGGATAGGTGTGATGCAGCTCCCGGAGCTCTTCGAAGTACTCCTCAATGTTTCCTTGGCCACCAAAGATGGTGAAGATCTTGGCCTGGTTTTCACCGGCGGCACGGAACAGAGCCGACTCGTAGGGCTTGATGGCTCTGTTGCTAGCTGACCGCGCAAGATAGTAGCAGCGAATGACTTCGAGCTTCTTCTCGTCGATGCCCTCCATTGTAGAGACGTGGGCATGAACATCGTTGCCCCGTAGGAACGCCCTCTCGAACTCGTTCAGGATAATCTTGAGCACCTCCTCGTATGAGCCCTGAGCGTCGTCCTCGCCTTGTGCCACCTCGGTCGCGATAAAGCCCATGTATCTGGCAACAAGCTCGAAAATGGATGAAGGCTCGTCATCTTGCGCGAGCTCGTCGGTGGGGGCGGGAAGGATAGCAGCGAAACGCTCCTTTAGCTGAGTAGCGTGGAAATGAAGACCGGTGGGTATCAAGAAAGAGGTTTCGAGGGACCCGTGGGAGAGGGTGAGCGGCCGCAGAGAGGCAGACGACCTGGGAGTGGTGACGCCCGTCTGGGCGCCGGTACCGGTACCGTACATGATTGTGAAGGGGTATCTGGGAGACGGCTAGAAAGCTGGAGGACAGAATCCGTGGTTAGCGTCTACTCGTCACGGCTTAAGAACAAGAATCAGAGTCTCCGAATATCCTCACTTGGTATAATGGCTCCGAAACTCAGCAAAGAGCGGGAGCGAAAGGTGATTTTGATCTGGAAAGCCACTTGAGGCTGGATGTGGGTGTGGATGAGGCTTCAGGAATGGGGGGAAGCCAATGACAAAACCGTCGTCGTCAATGTCGTCGTCTCTGTTGTTCGGCTCGCTGGTCAGGCACAGCAGGATTAGAGTCAGGGTTCCGGAGAAGATGGAAGGGTGGAATCCGGGGAACAGAAGACTCGAAAATAGGAAAAAGGTTGAAAGGACCTGATCCTGTCCCAAGCAAAGTCTAGGGGAAAATAGAGGCAGGCAGCGTTGGGTATACGGCTTGGGGATGTACCTCTGGAGGTAAGAAAGGGGGTTCGACGAGGAGGAGTCGAAGGAGACGAGAGCAGACGAGAGGCAGGTGGGGAGAGGCAAGGAAGGAGGAGTCGGGATGAAGGGGGGAGGGGATAGGAAAATAATAAAAGGCGAAATGGATGGAGCCAAATACGCGGATAGTACATGGGCTTACAGTACATACAGATGTGAGAGGTATCCAAGTTCGTCCTTGCCCTGGTCTTCTTTGCTCGCGAGTCAAGTGGAACTCGCACTTTCCAAACCTCCGCGGAATATCTGGATGGTGCCTGTCTCGCCTTGTCGAAACGAAGAGCAAGTGGAAATGGTAAGGTACAGTCGGCGATACCCAGTCCTAGAGCTGAGGCAAAGTTATAGGTTAGGCAACTGTCCACCAACCTACTGCTCTGAGGAGATACGATCCGGACTTTCGACGGGTTGACCAGAGGGTAGAAGGATCTCACAACGGAGACCGAAGCAACAGCGGGTGAAGGCCCAATGTTTTGGTGAGGGATGTAAATTACAAGCTAGCTGTACATGTAATGTATGCGCACACTCAAGGTGTACGACTATAAGATGGCGGGGTGTAATCGTACATTCCCGTGGTTCATCTTGGAGAGGGGCACAATGCCCCTGGGGAGGGACCAGACGATAAATTTCACCAGGGTCCTTATCGGTGCTTATCGGTTACAGTTCTTTCCAGACAATGCACGCAGTGCGCAGCCACGTTCCTCCCCATGGCTGTAATTGAGGGTATCGCGAGCGGGCTTACGAGAGGCGTTACGACTCAGGCGAGCGAGGGGTCTGCACTGACAAAGGTTCCTGCTCCTGCCAGCCATACAGTCGGCATATTGATTGCTCGCCAAAATTTTGGGTGGTTCTGGTTCTTGTTGGGGAAGTCGCGAACACTGCTGGGAGTTCGGCCGGGTCGCGCACACCCAAACACCACCCACCAGAACAGAGCCCTACCGCCCCTTCCGTCCCCAGCATTCCCTACAAGCCAAGACCTTGTCAAACACAGATAGAGTGGGATCCGAGTGGGATTCTGGTGGGGTCCAGAAGTGACTTTGGGCAATGTCTAGCGATGTTTAGCGACGCTTGGGTCATGCAACAACTTAAAAGCGTCGTCGTGTTTGCCTGGGTCTTGGCGTGGCAGAATCGCGCACTCGCTCGACGGCGTTTTGGCATCGCGACGTGCACCGCCAGTTGCACACCCAATCGACGCCAAGCCCAATGCTGCTCGACCACTCAAGATCCAGAAACGCTAGTCCTTCCGACCAGCCGAGTCCACCAAAGCCCACAGCGGAAACCCCACCACTCACGCGCAGATCAGGATGGCATTGTACTGGTACATGAATCCGAAACTTCCAGTAGTGGAGGCCATGCCACCAAGATGGGGTCAAACTGGAGTTGATTTGGAGAAGCTTGAACCTACTTCCCGAGCCAGCCCGAGTGAACCAATCTGAGGCGCTGCGATTTCAAATATTTTTCAACTTTTTGAGTGTGGCATCAATAATCAATGATTGTCCTGGGTGAGGCAAAGTATATCCACGGAGATGTTCTCCCAAACTTTCCTCCAGAAACAGCAACTTAAGGGGCATGCATGAGCTCTGCCCCTATGTACGACTTACGTCTCGACCATGCTTCATATAAAATTTTTGGGTGAGGGCAAGAAACTAGGGAGTTCGGCCGAAAGAACGCATACCCGACAACCCTAGAGCAGTGGCAATACCGGGGCCTAGATTATTTGCCATGTCAGTATTCGCGTTTCGGACCAGCCTGGCTCTTTAGTCTTTGCCCCTGCACGTTCAAGCCAACCCTACCTATCTTCAAGGCTTTCAAAGTCTTGATGCTTCAAGGAAAACGGGAAGGGATATGAGGCGGCAGGGCGGGAAAGTAGTGTGGAACAGTCGAAAGGGTGGCCGCTCTTGTTCGGTTCAGTTGCTTGTCAACGCCATAATGAACGTCGCGGTAGCAATGCGAGCAACACAAGCGAAGGCAGCTAGCTTCGTCTAGATAAAGAGATCGGGCAGCGGCGCAGGCCATGCGAGTCTTGGGAGACCCGATATGACGGCGTGCCCGTAGAGGTAGGGAAATACGATTATACGAGCAACTGAAAGATTCGCTTGCGGAGACGGGATTGTTTTGTAAGCTCCGTATATCCGGCCCCTCCGGACTATCAGCCGGTGCCCGACGCCGTCAACGGTCCAGACTCCGGCTTCCAACGGTTCTGGCTTTAGAAATGTTTAATCCCTTGCAGTGCGCGTTGAGTTGGCCAATACCTGACGATGACCAGGACGCCATACAGCGAAAGGTACTGAGGACAACGTGTTGTGCCCTGCAGCCGCTTAGACGGGTTCAATGGAAGACGGGAACTTGAACACCTCCATCAAAAGGGCTGAGAAACTCTTGCAGACATGTTCGTGCGGCTATGTAGGTAGGCAATATGAAAAGGTCAGGATCGCCGGTGTCGTGACTCTGCTTGGGCTTCCTTTGGTCGTCGGGTATGGTGTTGCAGCGGGAGCAAAGTGGAGGGCTGAGGGCAACAAAACTCAAAAGGGACTTGCTGCCACAAGTGGAGAAGCAGGCGGTTTGGGGTGCCGACGAATGAGGCCAGTTCGAGTTGGAGTTCACAATGTCTGAATCGTGACTTGTAGAGGTACTTGTAACATGACATCGATACATGGCTAACCTTAGCGTGGCCCAAGAGGTTCTTGAGACCAATGCACTTTCTAAAAAAGCCGTGGGGAAGGTATGAGACATGCAGCTAGACCGTATCAGGCTAGCGTTGGAGCTTTTGGTTGAGGGTGTTGAGCTGCAATGGAGGGCGGGGGGAGGCGGCGTGTGTATCAACGACAGGGGCTGCGGGGGTCAAAGTGGCATTCAACATTTGTGAAATTGAGAACCAAACAGGCCAAACAAACCGCCAGAAACAACGTTGGTTCATCAATTTCCAGAGGGAACTCGGCGTGGTTTCTGTTGCTGGGCTCTGCCGCGAGGAATCTGTACATCCATCAGTCCGTTAAACCCCATCTTGTCGTTGTTTGGCGTGAATAGGCCGTCCTGCACCCCGGGGAATCCCCTGGGCATCAGTTGACGGACACAGGTCCTGGTCACAAAAGGGTGCTAAATTGACTTCATCAAAGTTTCCTCGCCGCGTTGACGACCGCGCGGTATTCATGCATATCGATGTATGTATTGTACCGTGTAAAATAGAAGTTGGGGTTCCAATTGAGATGCAGTGAGGTGAATTAAACAAGGAGTCCACTCTGTGTGTATGTATGTATGTATCGCGCCTTCCCCTCCTCACAATCTCCCCCTGGCCCTCCTTCCCCTACGGAGTCCACGCACTTCCTTCGGTCTCCTTCAGTTTGGATTTCACCCATCGCATCCTTCCATCCTCATCCCTCCTCGTCCGATCCGCTCCTTCGGGGTTTAGCACTACATCCTTGTGCTCCTTCTTCGCCGCCTGCCATATCTCTAGGCTTCTCTTTCTTTTTTTGTCTGGTGCGTAGTCAGTCTCCCAGTCCTTGCATCCCCGTCTCTCAGGCTCAACTTCATCCCCCCTTTGTAATAAGGGCCTTCACACCATATCGAAGGTCATCTTCCGTGTTCCCATTCTACTGCCTTTGCTGACATCCACGGGCGTGTGTTTTTCCAACCACCAAAACTGACATCATCTGCTTGCTTTGCAGCAGCTTTCATATAGCCAGACGACGGGCACGCCATCTAGCTGATTGCATTATACCCCGGGATACGCTTCATCTACCCAATCCCCGCCCGTACATACCCTATTTTCCACCAAGAGACCTCGAAGACTATACCCCAGAAAACCATCCAAGATGCGTCCTGAGCTTGAGCAAGAGCTCGCCCACACCCTGCTCGTCGAGCTCCTTGCTTACCAGTTCGCCTCTCCCCGTGAGATGGATTGAGACGCAAGATGTGTTCCTTGCGGAGAAGACAGCCGAGCGGATCGTCGAAATTGGTCCCGCCGACACTCTTGGTGGCATGGCCAGGAGGACACTTGCCTCCAAGTACGAAGCATTCGACGCCGCCAAGTCAGTTCAGAGACAGATTCTTTGCTACAACAAGGACGCAAAGGAGATCTACTACGATGTAGATCCCGTGGAGGATGAGCCTGAGCCGGTTGCGGCTAGCTCGTCATCTAGTGCTCCCGCTCCCGCTGCCGCTGCTGCTCCGGCTGCTGCTGCCGCTGCTCCGGCCCCGAGTGCTGGCCCGGCGGCTTCGGTTCCTGATGCCCCAGTCCCCGCTCTTGACATTGTCAGGTCGTTGATCGCCCAGAAGCTCAAGAAGCCCTTCGCAGAGATTCCTTTGAGCAAGGCTATCAAGGATTTGGTTGGAGGTGAGATTAATCAGATTCTTTACTAACTGAGAAGGCAACAGCTAACAGAGTTTGCGTACAGGCAAGTCCACTCTACAAAACGAAATCCTTGGTGATCTAGGCAAGGAGTTCGGATCCACACCAGAGAAGCCCGAAGATACACCACTCGATGAGTTGGGGGCTGCTATGCAGGCTACCTTCGATGGTAACCTGGGCAAGACCACCCAGGGCCTTATCGCTCGTCTTATTTCCTCCAAGATGCCCGGTGGCTTCAACATCACATCAGCACGCAAATACCTTGAGACAAGGTGGGGTCTCGCTTCTGGCCGCCAGGACGGCGCGCTTCTGCTCGCCATCACTATGGAGCCTCCAGCTCGTCTTGGCTCCGAGGCCGATGCGAAGGCCTATTTGGATGATGTTACTCAAAAGTACGCCTCTCATGCTGGCGTCAGCTTGTCCACCGCGGCCGCGGCCGGCCCTGCTGCCGGAGGTGGAGGCGGCATGATGATGGATCCTGCTGCCATTGAGGCTCTTACCAGTGACCAGAAGGCCATGTTCAAACAACAATTGGAGCTTATCGCCAGATATCTCAAGATCGATATCCGCGCCGGAGACAAGGCTTTCCAGGCGTCTCAAGAGTCATCCAAGGTCCTTCAGTCACAGTTGGATCTCTGGATGGCCGAGCACGGCGATTTCTACGCTGCCGGCATTGAGCCTGTTTTCAGCTCGCTCAAGGCTCGCGTGTACGACTCCTCCTGGAACTGGGCTCGCCAGGATGCTCTCAGCATGTACTACGATATTATCTTCGGCAGGCTGAAGGCCGTTGATCGCGAGATTGTCAGCCAGTGCATCCGCATCATGAACCGCTCCAACCCCACCCTCCTCGAGTTCATGCAATACCACATCGACAACTGCCCTACGGAGCGCGGAGAGACGTATCAGCTCGCCAAGGAGTTGGGTGCTCAGCTTATTGAGAACTGTAAGGAGGTTCTCAGCGTTGACCCCGTCTACAAGGATGTTGCCGTTCCTACCGGCCCCCGTACCACCATCGACGCTCGTGGCAACATCAAGTACGAGGAGATTCCTCGTGCAAGCTGCCGCAAGCTTGAGCACTACGTTCAGCAGATGGCTGAGGGTGGCAAGATCTCTGAATACAGCAACCGTACCAAGGTTGAGAACGACCTTGCCCGTATCTACAAGCTGATCAAGCAACAGCACAAGCTTTCCAAAAACTCCCAGCTCGAGATCAAGTCTCTATATGGTGACATCATCAGGTCTTTGAGCATGAACGAGAGCCAGATCATGCCCAAGGAATCTAGCAAGGTCAGCAGCGTCTTGTCCAAGTCGTCGTCCAAGTCCAAGGGCAAGACCGAGACGATCCCCTTCCTCCACCTGCGCAAGAAGTCCGAGCACGGTTGGGATTACAGCAAGAAGCTCACCGGTCTCTACCTGGACTGCTTGGAGCAGGCGGCCAAGAATGGTGTTACCTTCGCCAACAAGTACGTGCTCATGACTGGTGCGGGCGCCGGTTCCATCGGTGCCGAAGTCCTTCAAGGTCTTATCAGCGGTGGTGCCAAGGTCATTGTCACGACCAGCCGCTTCTCCCGTGAAGTTACCGAGTACTACCAGTCCATGTACGCCAGATTTGGCGCCCGTGGCTCCCAGCTCGTTGTGGTTCCCTTCAACCAGGGTAGCGTGCAGGACGTCAACGCCTTGGTCGACTACATCTACGACACCAAGGCTGGTCTTGGCTGGGATCTTGACTACATTGTTCCTTTCGCCGCCATCTCTGAGCAGGGTCGCCAGATTGATGGCATTGACTCCAAGTCCGAGTTGGCTCATCGTATCATGTTGACCAACCTCATCCGCCTCCTTGGCGCCGTCAAGGCTCAGAAGGCCGAGCGCGGTTTCGAAACTCGTCCCGCCCAGGTCATCCTCCCGCTCTCTCCTAACCACGGCACCTTTGGCAGCGATGGTCTTTACTCCGAGTCCAAGCTCGGTCTCGAGACTCTCTTCAACAGGTGGCATGCTGAGGACTGGGCTAACTACCTCACTATCTGCGGTGCCATCATTGGTTGGACTCGTGGTACCGGTCTCATGTCTGGCAACAACTTGGTTGCCGAGGGCGTCGAGAACTTTGGTGTCCGCACTTTCTCCCAACAGGAGATGGCCTTCAATTTGCTTGGCCTCATGTCGCCCACTATTGTCGACTTGTGCCAGAACGAGCCTGTCTTCGCTGATCTGAACGGCGGTCTTCAGTTCATTACTAACTTGAACGAGACCATGACTAGTCAGCGCAAGAACCTTATGGAAACCAGCGATATCCGCAAGGCTGTCACCAAGGAGACTGCTATTGAGAACAAGATCGTCAATGGTGAGGATTCCGAGGCTCTGTACAAGAAGAAGGTTATCGAGCCCCGCGCCAACATCAAGTTTGACTTCCCGACCTTGCCTGACTGGAAGTCCGAAGTTGCTCCTCTTAACGACTCTCTCAAGGGTATGGTTGATCTGGAGAAGGTCGTTGTCGTCACTGGTTTCGCCGAGGTTGGTCCCTGGGGTAACTCCAGAACCCGCTGGGAGATGGAGGCCTATGGCGAGTTTTCGCTTGAGGGCTGCATTGAGATGGCCTGGATCATGGGTCTCATCAAGAACCACAATGGTCCCATCAAGGGCAAGCCTTACTCTGGCTGGGTTGACGCCAAGACTGGCGAGCCCGTTGATGACAAGGACATCAAGCCCAAGTACGAGAAGTACATCCTCGAGCACTCCGGTATCCGTCTGATCGAGCCCGAGCTGTTCGATGGCTACGATCCCAACAAGAAGCAGCTTCTCCAGGAGGTTGTCATTGAGGAGGAGCTCGATCCCTTCGAGGCCACCAAGGAAACCGCTGAGGAGTTCAAGAGAGAGCATGGCGATAAGGTTGACATCTTTGAGATTCCCGAGACTGGTCAGTACACTGTCCGTCTGAAGAAGGGTGCCTCGCTCTGGATCCCCAAGGCTCTGCGCTTCGATCGCCTGGTTGCTGGCCAGATCCCTACCGGCTGGGACGCCAAGCGTTACGGTATCCCTGAGGACATCATTTCTCAGGTTGATCCCGTCGCTCTCTTTGTGCTTGTGTCTACTGTGGAAGCTCTTCTCTCGTCTGGTATTACCGACCCCTATGAGTTCTACAAGTATGTCCATGTCTCTGAAGTGGGTAACTGCGTCGGTTCCGGCATGGGTGGTGCTACTGCGCTCCGTAACATGCATCGCGACAGGTACCTTGATAAGCCTGTTCAGAACGATATTCTTCAGGAGTCCTTCATCAACACTATGGCCGCATGGGTTAACATGCTCCTGATCTCGTCTTCTGGACCCATCAAGACGCCAGTCGGTGCTTGCGCCACCGCTGTCGAGTCTATCGACATTGGTTACGAGACCATTATGGAGGGCAAGGCCCGGGTGTGCTTCGTCGGTGGCTTCGATGACTTCGGTGAGGAGGGCTCGTATGAGTTCGCCAACATGAAGGCTACCAGCAACGCTGTTGATGAGTTTGCCCATGGCCGCACGCCCAAGGAGATGTCCAGGCCTACTACTACTACGAGAAACGGCTTCATGGAGTCGCAGGGTAGCGGTGTTCAGGTCATCATGACCGCCAAGCTTGCCTTGGATATGGGCGTCCCCATCTATGGTGTCCTTGCTTTGACCACCACCGCTTCTGACAAGATTGGTCGCTCCGTCCCTGCTCCCGGCAAGGGTGTTCTCACTACTGCTCGCGAGCGCCAGGGCAGCCTTCCCTCGCCCCTTCTCGATATCAAGTACAGACGTCGCCAGATTGAGCGCCGGAAGAAGCAGCTTGAGAACGAGAAGGAGGAAGAGCTTGAGTATCTCGCCGATGAGATTGAGGCCCTCAAGGCCGAGGGCAGGCCGCAGAATGAGATTAACGACTATGCCCGCCATAGAACTCAACACATTGAAGAGGAGGCTGAAAGGCAGGTCAAGGAAGTTCTCCGCAGCTACGGCAACAACTTCTGGAAGGGCGATGCTACGATTGCTCCCCTTCGTGGCGCCCTTGCTACTTGGGGCCTCACTATTGACGATCTTGACGTCGCCTCTTTCCACGGTACTTCTACCAAGGCCAACGACAAGAACGAGTCGTCTGTCATTTGCCAGCAGCTCCGTCATCTCGGCCGCAAGAAGGGCAATGCTGTGCTCGGCATTTTCCAGAAGTATCTCACTGGTCATCCCAAGGGTGCCGCTGGTGCCTGGATGATGAACGGCTGCTTGCAAGTGCTCAACAGTGGCCTCGTCCCTGGCAACCGCAACGCCGACAACGTTGACGCTGTCATGGAGGAGTTTGACTACATTGTTTACCCTAGCAAGAGTATCCAAACTGATGGTGTCAAGGCCTTCTCCGTTACATCGTTCGGTTTCGGCCAGAAGGGTGCTCAGGCTATTGGTGTCCATCCCAAGTATCTTTATGCCACTCTTGACGAGGAGGCGTTCAACGCTTACCGCACCAAGGTCGAGACTCGCCAGAAGAAGGCCTACCGCTTCTTCCACAACGGTCTCATCAACAACACCCTGTTCGTTGCCAAGGACAACTCTCCTTACTCTGATGACCAGCTTCAGTCCGTTCTTCTCAACCCCAAGGCCCGTGTTACCGAGGACAAGAAGACCGGTCAGCTCACGTATCCCGCCAACTTCATGGAGGCGGAGGCGGCGCAGGAGGTGCAGAAGAAGAGCGGGGAATCTCTTGAGTCAACTGTTGCCCGTGCTGCCAACCGTCTCAAGAACAGCAACACCCGTGTTGGTTTCGATCTTGAGGATATTTCCTCCATCAACATCGACAACGAAACTTTCCTGGAACGCAACTTCACCGAGGCTGAGCTCCAGTACTGCAAGGCCCCTAGCACTGGCCGTTCGCCGCAGAAGTCGTTTGCTGGTCGCTGGACCGCGAAGGAGGCCGTCTTCAAGTCACTTGGTGTTACCAGCCAGGGTGCTGGTGCGTCCTTGAAGGACATTGAGATCCTCTCGGATAACAACGGCGGTCCCGTGGTGAAGGTATGTTTCTCCCCCGCCCCGACTCTGATCACTAGTATTAGGCTAACATATTCATAGTTGCACGGTGCTGCTTTGGAGGCCGCGAACAAGGCTGGCGTTTCCAAGGTCAACGTGACGTTGTCCTACTCTGACAGCCATGCTGTTGCCATTGCTACGGCTCACTTCTAGAAGAAGAGAAGAAACTGGAGCGATGAGCAATGGGAACTGGTGTAGAAACTTAAACATCTTTTGATTTCAGTCGCTTTTACCCGCCGCATATTACAATTCAGCATCCATAACTTGGCGGTTATTTGAACGGAAGGAAAGAGGCGGTGGATCACCGGAGTTTTAAAAAGATGTTATATTTTGTCAGCATTTCTTTCGGGACCGGGCGTATATTAAAAATGGTTGATTTAGCTAAACGTTAACGAAAGTCTGGAGCAGTGGGAAAATAGACATTTAAAGGTTTTGAAGACGATGCCGTGGTGTACACGAAAGTAAGACGCTTTGAGAGACTGTGACCGTTTGGCCTCGAACGAACGTCGTGTCGCCAACCCCGCGATTTGGCACGATTGCTGTCTGGTGCTATCTGGCTTATCAAGACGTCATGGCAGGTCGGCTTGACATGAGAAATTGGCCAATCATATTGATCAATCAGGTCGTAATCAGGCAAGTGACGCTGATGAGAAAGACCAGGGGCTAAAATCCGATCATCTCCGAGTGGTCGGGTTCACCTCTTGGATGTCTCTTGGGCTTCCCTTCCGGCACCCGTCGGTAGCCTTGGATCGGCAGCCGGCGCTGACCGCACTTCAAAGTAACTGAAAGCAAGGGATCAGATCCACCGATATAGTCGATGACCTATCGCGTATCCGCGGCAGGCGGGTAAGAGAGGAGTCGATATGATGAATGCTTCGGCTTTGATGTTCCATTGGTGATATGGCTCGGTAGGGATAATACCAGCTTGCTATTTCCCCAGACTAAGACCGACTATAAAGAATCGTCTTCCCCGCGATCCTGCTTTCCTTCTTGGTTTTGGGGGGGTTTGATGCCATTTCTCATCGTCAACTGTTAGCAACAAGAGGACACGTTGTTTGAAAGCGTATACAGCGACTCGAACCTGTCATTTTGTCAACCTGCATCGGCTTAATCGTCAAACCGTCACAACCTTCACTCGAGTCAACCGCATCTTGTCCGAATCCCGTGGACTGGCTTCTTCCTGCTAACTGCGCATATCATATGCAATACGGGCACAAGTGGCAACTGTTCGACAGAGTCTCATCCATCTGAGCAGCGAATCGGAACGGCCCGCAATCTATCGATGTCTGACCGTTAACGGTTCCCTCTCACTTCCCAGCACGGTACCTACATATTTGGGGAAGTTTGGAGACCTCGATCCAGGTCTTCTTATACTACACGCAACGACAGACATCATGGGTTCTCAAGAACCGAGAACCCTGGTTAACCCCCAGAACCAGCTCTTTTACGGCACCTTCATCTACCCCAAGACCCTAACCGAGCTCGAATACCTGTACAACACCGCCGTCGCCGTTGACCAAAATGGCACCATTGTTGCCATCGAGCGTGACTGTGACCTCCCCAAAGCCACCAACACTCTTCTCCCACGCCTCGGCTGGTCCCCGGACAGCGTCACCATAAATACCTCCTCAGCTTCCCATAACCAGTTCTTCTTCCCCGGTTTCATAGACACACACCTGCACGCCCCGCAATACCCCAACGTGGGCATCTTCGGCAAGTCCACCCTCCTCGACTGGCTCGAGACCTACACATTCCCGCTCGAGGCCTCGCTCTCGGACCCGGCCAAGGCCCAGACCGTCTACAACCGCGTCATCCGCAAGACCCTGAGCCACGGCACCACGTGCGCCGCCTACTATGCCACCAAAGACGTCACCACCACCAATCTACTCGCCGATTTGTGTTTGCGCGCCGGCCAGCGCGCCCTCGTCGGCCGCGTGTGCATGGACCAGCTCTCACCCGACTACTACCGCGACGCCTCGGCCGCCGACTCCGTAGCCGCCACCCGCGAATCCATCGCCTACGTCCAGTCCATCGATCCGACCGGCGCCATCGTGCGACCCGTGATCACCCCGCGCTTTGCGCCCTCGTGCTCCGCGCCCCTGATGGCCGACCTCGGCAAGCTAGCCGCCGAAACAGGTCTCCCCGTCCAAACGCACATATCTGAAAACGAAGGCGAGATCGACTTGGTCAGAGAACTATTTCCCGCCAAAGAAATTGGGGCAAAGGGGGATACCTACACGCACGTGTACGACACCTTCGGGCTGCTGACGGACAAAACCATCCTGGCGCACGGCGTGCACCTTTCGGAAGAGGAGGTGGAGATCATCAAAGCCAGGGGAAGCAAGGTCAGTCACTGCCCGTGCAGCAACAGCGCGATCACGAGCGGCGCGGCGCGGGTGCGGTGGTTGCTGGAGCGCGGTATCGAGGTCGGGCTAGGCACGGATATGAGCGGCGGGTATAGTCCGTCGGTGCTGGAGGCGGCGAGGCAGGCGGCGCTGGTGAGCCGGCATGTGGCTATGACGTGCTCACCGAAGAAGGGAAGCAAGGCGAACAAGAACGGGATAGATAGGGAGAGGGCCAAGTTGACGGTGGAGGAGGTGCTGTATTTGGCTACCAAGGGAGGAGCGAAGCTGGTGGGGATGAAGGGTAAGGTGGGTGGGTTTGAGGTGGGCATGGAATGGGATGCGCAGTTAATTGGGCTGGGAAGAGACGTCGCTGATGGGGAGTATGAGATTGAGGGTAAGGGTGAGGAGAAAGAGGAGGAGGAAGGGAACGTGGATGTGTTTGGGTGGGAGAGCTGGCCGGATAGGGTGGCCAAGTGGCTGTATAATGGTGATGACAGGAACACGAGGAAGGTCTGGGTTAAGGGGAGGTTGGTGCATCAGAGGAAGTAGACTGGTTGGCAGCAGGGTTTTCTTGTTAAAGTCTTCATGGGTTTTCCGTGCATTGGATATCATGTGGATATCATAGATTTTTGGGTATAGGTAAGGCATGAGACATGATGGAATGAAGTTTATGAGCTTTTAACAGCGATGTATTAGAAACGTTTGTAACGCTCACATTACCTCTCTTCGAAGTCAGGTGGTGTTTCTGTCGTCTGCTATCAAATGTTTGTGAAGACGCCGCTGCGACACCTAATAACAACGAACGTGCCCACAGGTTGCATGGAGTATGTAATGACAGGAGTCAAATGCCCTTTCAACAATTGATCCTTCGTGGCGCAATTGGCTAGCGCGTCAGACTGTTAATCTGGAGGCTGTAAGTTCGATCCTTACCGAGGGAGGTTGACAATATATTTTTTGCATTATTTTTATCTGCAAGCGGCAGCATGGATTTTTGTTGCAATGCACTGTGATGCAGTACTGCCGTGCAGGGACGAAGCATGTTTAACAATATTGCATATCACTGTTATTTTCTTTTTTCGGATAGTTCACATTTTTGTTGTTTATATCAATCCTTTACTATTTCAGGGCATATTATGGTTGCATATCTATAACGGGCAATCTCAAGCATCCCCTGTTAGGTTGGTACGGATTTATGCTAAATACTGTTGTACGGAAAATTATATTGGAGCTTGCTTATATGATGGCATCTAACGTGAAGGGAACAACGGCGACACGGTAAAAGGGATGTATCGGCAGTCTTGAAAACTATGTTTCATGCCTGGAATAGCTGCGACTGTGGTAGTTTTGTACGACCCGACATCGCGAAGGACGTCGAACCTCAAGACAGTTGTTGACGCTCAGCATCCTTTGATACTCACTATAGCATACGCTAAATGTTATTGTATGATATCGAACAGTCACTGTTAGAGTAGGTGAGTGGCACTTCCACCAACTCTTCTTTTTCAAACCACATTCCGCTACGCTGTCTATAATCATTCTTTCAAATCCCGTCAAAACTTTTACATGCTTTTCCAACTCAGTAGCCTCGACTTGTCGAAACCATCCTCTTCTTTTCACCTACCAGCTTCTCACCCCACACTTCTACGCTCTTGCTCACTCTTCCTTGGTGGTATCTTCCCCAACACCATCACCGTTCTTCCCACTAGCAGCTCCCGCTCCAGTCCCTCCAGTCGCTCCCGCAGCAGCCGCCGCCGCCGCAGCCTGAGCAGCAGCAGCAGCAGCCGACGCACCTCCCCCGATCCCAAGACCAATTCTACTCCCCAACACACCCTCCTGCACACTCGCTCTCCTCAACATCATCTGGTGCGAGGGATGATGACCCGGGTGGTGGTGACCCGCAGCAGACGCAGCCGAAGCAGCAGACAACAAGCTTGGACTCCCCACTCTCACAGGGCTGATTCCCAACCCCGTCCCGCTACCCACCGTGTGCAAATCGCTAAGGTTGCTGAGGCCCGTGCCGCCTATTGCTGCTAGCAAGCCTGGTGGCAGGCCGAGGGTGGGGATGTTGGTGTCTGGGACTGTGTGCCCTCCTCCTCCAGTGGTACCGCTGCCGGTGCGAGGGGTATGGTGAGGAGGAGCTCCGGAAGCAAGGGCCGAGTCCTTCATTACTGTGGTTGACAGGACGGTCAACGGCGCAAGACCGGGTGTGGTGTTGGGCGCGGGCGGATGGGCTTCGCGCTCGAGGACTTCGCGGTAAAAGGCCTCGAGGGCGCAGCGGTCGCGGCAGAAGGATTCGAGCTCGTCTTTGATCACTTCCGGGTCTTGGCTCGTGGGCGTGACGGGCATCGTGACGGTGGAGCGGTTAAGGGATTGGCCTGTTGTGCCGAAGCCGTTGGTTGAGGGGGGACCGCTGGCCATGGGCCCGATCAGGTGCGGTCGGAGGGCGGGGGAGAGGAAGGCGGTTGTTGGTTTGACAAGCGGGGAGGGAACGGCGGTTGGCTGATCACCAGAGTGGGTATTTGGTCCGTAGAGACTGGGCGTTGGGATGCGGCCTGGGCCGGGACCGAGGTTGTCTGCCCCCCCGGCTCCGCCGCCGCCACCCTTTTGTTGCATTTCCTTCTCTCGCTGGGCGGCGGTGCGGTTGCTGTAGAGACGGTTCGCGAGGATGAGGATGTTGCCTTCGTCTGTGATTTCAGCGATCAGAGTGCCGGATCGGTGGATGAACTGCGTGTACTTGAAGTCTGGCTTGCCCCATGAATACGACACGTCGACGTTGTATGGGAAGCTGGATGCTGGCTCCATGTCGAGAACAAAGTCAAACTTTCGCAGGAGAGCCCTCTGATAGAAGTGCCGCCCTGGTTGTGCTTGCGGAGTAAACGAGTTGGGGTCAAAGTAGGTGATAGGCTGTTGGTTTGGTGGCTGGACAGCCAGCTTGATCACATATGGTCGACGGAACGGATTGATATCCGTTATATCGCAAGCTTCGGCGATAGGAACCTCAACAAGCCGGAGTCCGTACAAGGCAGCCTCGCGAGCCCATGCCTCAATGGCATCTTCGATCAACTTGGCTGTTACGTTCATCCAGTCGATCCGGATGTGGTAACAATTGTCGGGGTTGTGAAGCCTGTCGTAGTGCAAATCAACCACTTCAGGCCGGTAAGAGCGTTTCCGATGGTCTATGTCGTATTTCATGACTTTACTCAGAACCACCCTAGGCTTCTTGCCACCGGCCATCATAGCTGCCGTTGGGGTCACCGTCCCAGAAGTGGGAGAGCTGTCTTCGTAGATAGATGTTGGCCTCGACACAGACACATTGGACCTCGGCGAATCCCGTACTTCCGAATGCGGTGTTGATGGGACAGACACCGGAACTCGTCTTGTGTTAAACCAGCCTGGAGGGTTGGGTTTCGCATAATCGCTGCTGATCTGGTAGAAATACTGGCCATCCCTGAAAGGATGACGCCTCTCAACGTGCACGAAGAGGCCACCACCGCCATCCTTCCTTCCCTCTTTGCTTTCGTCCTTTGACTTGTCATCTGAACTAACCATAAGACGATTACCAAGCTCCTCGGCTTCCTCTCTGTCTTCCAAGTCTTCAAAGTTCTCAAGAAGCCAAGTGGTCATGTCAGACCCGATGAAGCAGTTGTAATGGAGGCGCAAATGCCAGCGGCGATTCTGCATCCGAATGCCTCCATTCTCCACCGGCTGCTGGATGGCCTCTGCCAATGCTACGAGGCTAAAGTTCTTCTTTGAGAATTGCTCTCTGCTTGTGACGAGCTGGCCCTTCCTGTGTCCACCCTCGAGGCCCTCCAACAACGGAAGTGTTTCCAGCTCGGCCGCGATAACCACGGATGGATCTTCTGTCTTGTAGACGATATCAAGGGGGTTCATGTCCTTTTTGCGGCGTGATGCTTGGAAACTCCGTTCGCTAGCCGGGATATACCTATGTTTCTGCCACATCTGCGCAAGTTTCCTAATGCCCTCGATGCGAATCTCTTCCTCACTGTCCCCGTATTGCGTCTTGGGGAAGAACGAGTGTCTAGCAGTCATTGGTATCAGGACGAGCCTAGCGCGCCAGAACCTGAGATGTTCTGACAACTCGTCGTTATGCCCTGCAACGAAGGCGTCAACATAATTCCAGTTTCGGTCAGGTGTTGGAGCCACCATGGCGAATGGAAGGGTTTTGTAACCATGGTCAAGTAGTGTTCGTATCGCCGGTTTGTACAAGTAACGGTCATCGTACAGTTCCGGCGAGGCGATCGGCTTCCGGACAAAGATATTAACTTCAATTTCGGTGCCATTCACGCACGAGAGTTGGTGAATCGTGTTACCGACCGACATAAAGATGCTGGTACCATCCTCCACTGTGTGGTCGCGGGAGAAAATGTCGGTAACCTTGAGTTGCTTCTGGCCAAAAGCTTTAGCAACCGCTGGGCCTACAACGACCTGAAATCCTTGGCAGAATCTGAGACTAATCATCTCTCGCAGCATCTCATCGCGTGACTTGGGTTCCTCGGCCAACTCATCATCGGCATTCTGCGAGACATTGTACGGTTGACGGTGGTACTCTGATTCGAACTGTGCCTTGGTAGGGAAGTATTCTGTGGTAAGTGGAACGGCAGCGGGGGAGCACAAAGACTTCCATTTCATCACCCGCGTCTCGTTGGGCCTAGGAAAGACATGTTGCCAACGGCTGTATAACGTGACAATATCGACCTTGTTGCTATCAGGGTTCGACGGATTGACCAACGTCAGCCAAGGCGACAGCGCGGTTGTCGGCGATAAAGTTGACGGTAATTCCGGTACCGCTCCGGCCAGAAGCTTGTTGTTGTACACCTTCTTCGCATCCTCGGCTCTGATTGCGTCTGAGTAGAAGAGATCACGATTATCAGGAACGTAGTCAGCCCGTAGTGTCGAGGCGAGCATTGAACCCGATAGCATGTTGGCTGCAGGGTCAGTTGGAAGCTGTTGCGACTTAATTGGCATTGGCCGGCTTGGAGTGCTCTCGAAGTACTGATGGCCGGGCGCGAATGAGCCTGGTGCAGGACCCCAAGGGGAGAAGACGGCGGGAGTTCCACTTGCGAACATCTGGGGCGACATTGACCGGTTGATTACTGCTTTGGCCGGAGTTGAAGTAGTGCTGGCATTCATCAAAGCCCTCGAAGATGTCAACGATCTATCAGCATTCACGCTTTCAATGCTAAGCTCTGCCGTCGCAGCCTTTGGTGCAGCGATGCGGAAACCAGAGCTTCCAAGGCTGATCTGCTTCATAAACTTTGGGACCTTTGGAGTGATTGTAGGTGAACGCTTGGAGTTGAGTTTGTCCAAATCGACCGTCTTACGGGTACGCAACTCGGGTTTGTCGGTGTTGAGGCGCTGACCCGATCCATTCCCAGTTATTGTCATTTGCGAGGCACTTGTAGACGGTCTACGCTCAGTGTATGATGTCCCAAGAAGACTCGCGTCATCAGCATGGTGTCGCCTGACGGAATCATCGTACTCCCGTACATGTCTCGGAAGCGCCAATGTGCGGCGTAATGACGGTTGGC